GGGGTGCGTGGGCTGGTTTTCCATAGATAAACTCGGTTTTGTAGCCGAGGGGGGGCAAAGTCCGTTTATAAAAGCCTGCGTGTGGGGAAGGAGTTTGCCGAGGCAATTGCAGGAATTTAGTGCATCGCTTTCGATAGGCGCCTCACGGAGGGGGTGGGTGGCTTTGCTAGGTCTGGCTTCACTGTGTGTTATTTTTCGGTTGCTGCCGTCTTCTGCTGGCTTTGTTCTTGAGTATTGGGCCTCCCTATGCAAAGCCCCACATGTGTAAGTAGCGAGGCAGGTGTGATGCTTTAGTCCTCTGGAGCAGCTCCTCTCTGGCAGACTGCAGCTGCTGCGCTGGGCTTCAGCTTTAGTCTCACCTCTGAGGAGGAGTTGTTATTTCATGCTCCTTCTAGGTGAACTGTGCTTTGGGTTTTTTTTCTTTTCTTTTTTTGGTCATTGTTGGACTCTTGTTTAAAATCTCATCAGCAGAATTAAACCCAGTTTTTATTATCGTAACTGTCCACAACCATTTGTAGGCTTACTGGAGAAGATTTGTGTTTTAAATGACTGCTTTAAAAGTCTGGTTTGTGCACCACCTACCCACAGACTAGAAAAAACTGTCAAGCTACACAAAGTTATATTAGAGGCAAACCCTGATTTTATGGGTATTCTTTATACCATACCAGTGGCTAAAACACTCTGACAGAACACTTCTCTCTAGGACTTGGCATTGTGTTTCTAATTCAGTTTGTAACACTTGGGAGTATTCTGACAACCGGAAAGAGAAGGGATCTGACGAGAATTTTACCAGTGTCACCAAATCTCTCTGACTAAATACTTCCTTCACGTGAGAGACATGATACACAGTTATCATGAGCTGCTGTAGCTCAGCTTAGGTTTTGTGCCACAAGAATGAGTAGGGGCCATCAGCCACGTTCTGCAGTAGTCTTCTCATTCTCCCAGAATTGATCAATTTTATGTGTTCAGCTGTAAAATCCTAAAAATGGTTTGTCCAGAATATACTAGTCTGTGCTAGATAGCACAGGCTATGAAAAGCTTAACATTATGTTTCTTACCTGGCTTTCCATTTAACAGTGAGTTAACTTCAGGGTCATAGTCCTCGTCATCAGCGTTTCCAGAAAGTTTGGTACAGGAAAGATCTTCAAAGCTGCAAATGACAACTTCAGAGCTGACTTAATTTCACTAGCATTCAACAAGAATAAAAAGCATAAAAGAAGAAATACCATTTCTTGTAGAAAATCCTTATTTCCTTGCAGAAAGGAGAGTGGTTGTTTCATGGTGAAGTAAAACTTTGTCAGGTCTCCATGGAACTGAGGAAGTCTTGAGCAATGAATTCTGAGCAATGGGCTTAAATGGAGTATTTCCAGGCAGCAATTTTTGCAATGCTTGTAGATTTATTTTTTTTTCAACAGATTACAAATAATTACAAACTGATTTTTCAGACATGCTGTGAAATTTTAATATGACTGTTCTATTCTTTAAATTTGTTGCTGCAAAAATCCTGGTAATATTTTTGAAAAGTGTTTCTAAGAGAGTTTAAGATAAGTCAGGAATTTGTCTATCTGGTGGAGGCGTTCCACTCTACTCATGTGCTTTGTTTCCTTTTTGTACTTATGGGGAGCGGGGGGGGAAGGGTGTGTGGGGTGTGTGTGTGTCTTTATTTTTCAAGTTACCTGATCCTGAAAACTTCAGGAGGCGATAAAAGATACCTTGCCCGCTCTTTTAAGATGATTGGCACACTCCCAGAATTGAGCGAAGACAATATCTGTAGTCCTTGGGACTGCTTTGAGGGGCAGAGGTTTGGATATGCTGTTTCACTCTATGTAAGCAAGGTAGCAAACTCCTAGGTCTAGAAACAATTTTTTTTCTTTCCAAATTTGTAAGGTGGCATTCTTTTTGGAATGGATCGGTTTCAAATATAGACACTTTCCTCTAAATCAATTAGCTGTGCTTTTCAGCTGTATCTATTTCTAACTGATCGGAAATAGATGAGTTAAATGTTGGTGAGTACGTGGGTGATGTTACTGTGGCTTAGGTACTTTTTACTTTTACCGCCTTAAAAAAAGTTCTCTCAATGTACTTTGAGTCACAGTTTAATCCAGAGCAATATGAATTAAACTGTTCAATATATTCGCGCACTTCTGTTAGGCCAGATCCAGTATGATGCTTTCAAGCCACATTGCCTGATTTCTGGTTGGTGTATAGACAAAAAAGTCTCAAGCCATTGCTACTTGACTTTTGGAAACTAGCATTTCTTTGGCTGCTCATTTATAAGTGCCGTGTCTTCTTAATCCATTTAGGCGGCATAAAGAAGGTAAAATACTGCTTTTTCAGTACTGCACCGGGTTTCAGTTAGTTTGAGACAGCAGTTGTTTCAAGATGGCACTACTTAAATCGTATTAGTGAAATGACCTGTATGAAACAAAATGCTGACTTCTGAAGGCTGTTTTCCTGCAGTGCATGTCCATGATTTCACTTGCAACCCAGCTACACAAATAACTGCATCAGCGCAAATGTACATGGTGGCAAATTATGGAAGAAGTTGAGGAGAGTGATTTGAGGAACCTCATAAGTCAGCATTTCCTCCTGAATAAACTGGGATGTGAAACTGCATTTCTGATACCAGCTAGTGTGTAATATAGTAACAGTCGTAATGTAGCTTAGTCCGCAATAATTCTGTGCGCTACTTGAGACCATCGCTTCTTCTTAGATGATGGTTTTTAGTTCTGTCTTAAGTTGTCTATAGCTCAAATCCTGGGGCTTAATGTGAATTTGAACGGAAAAGGAAAGCCTATGGCTTAGGCATGTCGTGTTTATGAGAGGAGCTATATAAAAATGTTTTGATGACTTTGAATTTTTTCCTATTCTCTGTAGAGAGCTCAGTGGTTTAAAAACTGCTTCTTTGGCAGAGGACCGTATTTACAAAAAGGTATTATGAAGTCAGTTTTTTACTGCAATGATGTTTTCATAATGTTGTCTGTAATTTTGTCTTTAGGTTTAATCAAATTAGAGGAGTTTTACCAAGATGACGGTCTGCGGTTTTTGCTGCCCAAAATTTTATTTAAGACTGAATTATTCTCTCCTGAGAGAGATGAATGAGGCTAGTGCATATTTATCAGACTTCTGGTAGAATTAGTTTCATTTGCAGTACTCTACAAGAGTCCTCTGGTGGTCATCTTCAGTGCTTTTACAAAAGCTTATAAAACCTGTATTTTTGTTTCATTGAGATAAGGGGAGTTCCAAAATTATACTTTCATTGATTGTGGATATTAGAGGGATATGATAGTATTTTAGCACATGCAAAATACGTGTCGTAAGGTTTTGTTTAAAAATAGAATAACAGCGATAAAACCCATTCTTTGGCCTCCAAAGCCCTAGATACAGGGATCTTAGCAAATGACCGCCTCAGACAACTAAAATGTATAGTTTTGTTGGCTGATTCAAACAACTGATGTCATTCCAGAAGAGGGAAGCATTTGGGCATTAATCTGTGAACATGACGTGATATCTTGATGGCATCTTTAATCTCTGAGTACTCTAGAATGATTATCCCATTTACCAGTTCCTATCTGCCAGGAACTTCAGGGCTTGCTTGGAAATGTAGATGGACTTGATGTTCTGTTCAAATCCAAATTACAGTTTCAGCCTTCAGTCATCTTGCCAAATGTGTGCAAAAAAAAAGAGAAATATTTGTGAGTTGTGTACCAACATGTCCTCTTTGTTATTCTTTCATGTTAAATGTTTTTTCGACATGCAATTCTCTCTGGAGATCAGAGGAGAATAGGTCAGAAAAATATTTAAGGTTTGAAAAATGACTTTTATCTGTCAGAGGTAGTGGCCAGCGTTTGGCAGGGTGGTTTCTGCTATCTCCCACCACCTCCCCCCACAACCAAAAGTTGTCATAAGAACAGGCTGTTCCTGTTTGAGGTAAATTTTGACCTGGTGTCTCTGTAATTAGCCATCTGTGGCAGCTTCCTTGTCTATAATGGATTGAGCTGGAGTTCTGTTGTCATTTCTCTGTATTTTATCTGACATACTGCTTTTTCTTTCACAGAGGAGAAGAAAAAACTCGTTCGAGAATTTGATGAAAAACAGCACGAAGCAAATGAAACGGTAAACATCAGTCTAGTCTTCTGGCCTTTCTGACTGGTTGAAATATTGATGCATTAAAAAATACAGTACTTCCAAATTTTACTTTCTTTATGGATCCTATTTTGACAGGCAGATGTTGTATTTTTTTAATGTTTGATCAATTGATCTGATAGATGTATCTGTGTCAAGACTGTTGAATATATACACACACACAGAGATATAGACAAATATTCTTACGTCCTTTTTTTTTTGAGTGCTCGGTTTGGATATCACCTTCCCTTTGTTGAACAAAGGAGAGTGATAGAGGTGCAATTAAAATTGCTACAGATTGTAGGGAGGGCATGTAGAGAATGTGCTGCCTTTTTTTTTTTTTTTTTCCCCTCCCTACTGACTTTTTTCGTGTTGGTCTTAACCCATCTGGTCTTTCTTTAATAGTCTGATGGTTAAATATCAGGGACCTTGAATATTTGAAACCTCTATTATATAGGCTTCCTGGACAGCAGGTGACATGAAACAGCACAAAAAAAACCCCATGTGATGTGTCTGTTTAAGAAAGACATTATGGTTTAAGCTTTTGTTAGGATGTTTTTGAGTCACAGCTGAACTTGGTGCTTTATTCCTCTAACTTACTGGGTTTTACTGATGAGTATCTGTGTAGGTGACATATGAGGTGTAGACCTCATATTGTGAGAGAGCTCATATTGGACAGCTTTTTAAGCATTGTGAATTTGTAACAACTGTCACTAAAAGTTGATGTGAAAATTCATGCATCCAAAATCCCAGGGTTTATAAGTCCTAACTCTGGTTGCCAGGCCCAGATATTCAGAGTGGGAATTTAGTGCCATGCCTATGTATGCAATAGGTCTCTGTTGCATAGATATGATGAGAAGCTGATACCCATCCTATAAGGGCTTAAAGTATATGAAAGTGAGAACTGCAAATTTTGAAGTTAGAGTGACGTTTCAGAAAAAATCAAGCATTTAAGCTTGGCAATTAATTTTTTTTTTTCCCTTGAGGCGTTGTGTGTCTGAAAATCCATGTGGGCTGAACAGCATTAGGCAGAATGGTGTATTCCATACTAGGTGAGGGGTATAGGGCTTGGGGTTAATCCCCCTCACCCAATCACATAAAAACATGTGAATTCCTTCATCTGGTGGTGAGTTTTGAGTATAGCTGCTGCTAAGAATAGATTTGGTGCTTTAAACACATCTTCTTTCATTAAAGCTGCGGGAAATGGAGGAAGAACTGAAGTATGCTCCTCTGCCTTTCCGCAACCAAATGATGAGCAAAATCCGGGCTTACAGAAGAGACCTCTCCATGTTCCAGAGAGAGATGAGAAGCACAGATTTGGGATTGGGCCCTGGAAGTCAAGGCGATATAAAATATGGAATCTTCTCTGCAGAAAATGAACAGAGTGTGAGAATTGGATATAAATTTTATTTAACATTGCTGTCATTGTTTAAAAATAATATTCCAGATGTATTGTTTACAGCGTTTCTACTTTAATCGACTTAGCTTCTGTGCTTGTGTAACTCCCTGTATATCTCTCTGCATGTCACATGAATATCTCAGGGAGGAGAAGGAACACCTGGAACTCAAAGGAGAACTTTTCTTTTCTAAAACAAAGATATGAGTATAATCAAAATGGGACTCCTTTAATGCCATGCGGTTAGTAACTTACACAACATTCTGTACTGAAATGCTTCATTTAATCATTCCCCTACAGCAGTGGAAACACAAAAGTGATGCTACTAACTGAGAAGAAAGGTTAACTGATGTAGTTCTCATCTCCAGAACTAGCCAAGTGTGTGAATCATGCACTGTATAGGTTCTTTGGTAGAATTCTCTTTTAAGCAATCTCAGTGTAAATAATTTCAAGAAAATAGAAGAAGTCATCCTCTAGTGTTTGGTTCACTATGGATGTGCTGCTACAGTGCAAGAAATGCACCAATTTCTTTGTCTACCAGCTGTACTTAGATATATCTGAGCTAGTGAGACTCAATCTGCTTATTATCTTCAAAGTGGTGTCGTCTGTACAGAAAGCTCCTGGAGGTGGGCTTTTTGTTTGTCTGCCGTAGATAAGGAAGGTTTGAGGCAGGCTCTTTCCTTAGTATCTCCTTCTGCAGTAGCTTGGTAAATTTTGGATCTGATTCCCCTTGATTGGTTCCTCTAAAACCTGAGACACGGTGGTAGATTAGACTTTCTGAAGCTTAAGAAAATACTTTATTTTGAGCTACCTTTTGACCCCAAGGTCAGCAAACATTTCTTATCCTCTAGCCAAGGCTACTGGCATGAAAAGAAGATCTCTGTTACTTAGCAGTCCATCTGTTAGTGCTGTTTGTTCCTAATCCTTTTGACAGTAAACTCTTAGTGATCTCCCTGGCCGCCCTGTGAAGTCACAAATAAGACTGAATTTAGATACGGATGGAAGGAAAAGTGAGCATCAGAAAAGCAAAGATATTATTTTCACGTACGTGTTCTTTGATGGAAAAGTATATTGTTGCAAAGATGTTTTTTGGCAACTGTTTAAACTCTTTAGCTGTGTGTCCTTCTTTTTCAAGGTTTAAGCAGATTTGGCCATAATCTTACAATGTGAACAAGAACTCTTTCAAAATTAGCCGGGCTACATCAGTTAACATAAGAAGCATGTACAGCTAATGCAAGTGGATGGCCTATGGAGTCACATCCTAACTTTTGAATATGTCAGAAGCCTAATATTTCTGTCTTTGTGCTTAATAGTTAAGCATACATTGTTTTTCAGACTAATCTGCAGTCGCAGAGGGTGCTGCTTCTCCAGGGAACAGACAGCCTGAACCGAGCCAGTCAGAGCATCGAGCGCTCGCACCGAATTGCTGCTGAAACAGATCAGATTGGCACCGATATAATTGAAGAACTTGGGGAGCAACGGGAGCAACTGGAACGCACCAAGAGCAGAGTAAGCAGAGAAACTGTGGGCATTGTATTGAAGCAACCTGATGTTAGCTTAGTGGGAACTGCGTGCCAGTACTTACTCTGGGAGACCTCCCTAGACATGCTAATCCAACTGATGTTTCTAGAGCCCAAATCCGGGCTCCCACACTTCTATGCTGTGCTCATAAAAGGAACAATAATTACTGTAGAAGGGCCAAATGTCTGCTGCAGTGTATGTGCAAGACTGGATATTAGACCTATAGACCTGCTAAAAAAAAAAAAAAGCATTAATGAAAAAATTAGAGGTACTAGTAAAGGATTAGATTTGGGAGGCAGTTAGCAAGTTCTTCTAATGAAATGAAATTTAGTAGAAGCTTAATTACTTTATTGCTAATCTTCCAGTATTTGTAGGTTAGCTGAGAGACAAAGTGATGCCAGACAAGATCCTCATCCTTGGGTCAAGAAGCTCAGCTTCTGCTGTGGAAGCTTTAAGTAATTAATTTGTTTTGTTTACATACGTATGTAAAACTGAGAATTTGATTTTTGAAGTAACAAACTGATGGGATTTTCTATGTGTACAAGGGACCCTGAGTGTAAAGCTTTTAGGTGGGTGACTTGCAGGGGGACGCCGAGTTGGCAAGTAAGCACACTCAGTCAAAACAAAAAGCATACCCCTTTTCTTGAGGGTCATCTCTACTCATTGCAACAAAGCCTGTTAGCTTTTTCATTTAAGTAGTTTTTCGATTTCAGTCAGAATTTGATTTGCCCTGCTCCCAAATTTGGGTTGGAGAGCAGGAAAGGAAATGTAATCTTAAAATTTGTAGGTATAGTTTTTGTCTGTTCTTTTTCTAATAAAAAAATTTGACAGTCCTTCAAGCATGTCAGTCTATCAACAGATTATTCATGAAGCCGTGACTTTTATTGTGAGCCTTTTAGGCATTGTATTGCTGAATTGTATTAACACACATTCCAACTGGAAGCAGACTTTCTTCTTGCTTGGTCTTTCATAGCAAAGATTGGAAATCCAGTATGCTTTGAATGGACTTGGTATTTTTCTTCCCAGTCTTTCTTGGTCCAGTCCCTCTCAGTGCAAAAAGTACCGTACCTACAGGGCCAGTTTTGCAGTTGAGGGCAATAGCTTAAACTCCAGGGGAACTGTGCGGGCAGGTGTCTGTGATGGTAAATGAGTGACCTGGCTTACCTTTCACTGCCCTTGAAGGTTTGGAAGTGGAATAGCAAAATCTTACATGGAGACCTCCAGTGGCCATACATTATGAATCCTGACTCTGTGAGACAACAGTTTTTTTAATTGTCCGTAACCTGACTTATGTGCTTCTTAATAGCTGACCAAGAAATACTTGACAGTTCATTTCTGAGCATTACAAAGCTGGAATGGATCAGCAATTAACAGCTCAGAGCGCATGTCCGCTGGGTCACTTAGACCTGGCAGTGCAACACGGTTCGTTCGTTCTTTGCTAGAAATTGAACAGCATTTCCAACGGTTCCAGATACGCACTGGGGAGAGCACGCCAGTATCGTTTTCTTCTGGTGTCAACTAGAATAATGAAATGAAATTTAATGAAGGAGCCAACACCAACTTTCTGATATTTGTAGATTAACTAAAGGGGCAGAAAGCGATCTTAAATTGCCTATCTTTGTACGTATCTAAGGGAAAAGTATACATGGAAGTCTTACATTCCTCCTTAGAAAGGAGACAATGCTTCCACCTTGGCTTATGTGTAGAGAACAATGTTGTCTCTGAATTTTGAGAATATATGGTTAGCCTTGGTCCCATTATTAATGGCAGCATTTCAACACCAGCTCCGTCCACGTGCATCTTTACAGAGTTGCTGTATGCTTGTTCAACTGACAACTTTTGTTTCTTCTTAGTTGGTGAATACAAGTGAGAACTTGAGCAAGAGTCGCAAGATTCTACGTTCTATGTCCAGGAGGTGAGTAGCATGACTGACTTAGAGCAGCGCTCTGCAGGTAGCACTGTTGCCTGCTGGTTTCGGGCAAAAAAAAGAAAGAAAAGAGCATCTGCAGGGAGCGTTTAAGGAATGTGTAAACAGAAAGTGTGCCCATGTGCTGATGCTAATTTGCGTTTTCTCCTCTCTGGTAATTACTTAATGGAGTACAGGTAATTGAACACTACTGAATTTGTGCTGCTCATTTAGGATAATGCATGTCTTTATCATCTCGCATGATAAATTGTGGTGAGGACATAAGCAAGTTACAGTGAATTGCTACTGGTAATTTCAGATGCAAGCCCTTGTTACTCAGGTTGGAAAAAGCTGTGCCACAAATCACTGCAGCATTAAGTGAGTTAGGTGTCTGCTGACACAGACAAATCTGTTTAGCCTATAGTAATGCCCTAGAGTAGCTAAGATGGTCGTATGAGAAGCTCTGAGCCGGACCATATACTATTTTGATGACTAAAGCCTTGGCTGCTTAAGTGTATTTACAGTTTCTTAACTGTATGGTTTAATTATCCTTATAAACCATTCATGGAGTGTATTTCCACTAGGTACTTCTGGCCGAACAACCTTCCCTTTGTACCCATGGCTAAGGGAAGTTAAGATAACAGTATCATTTTCTGTAGTAAAAGTACATTATTATTTTGAGATTTTATAGTTTTACTTCAACTACACAGTTGCAAGTAAAAGCACCGTGATGTGGGTTTTTAGCACAGGAGTTGAACTGATGCTTTCCTCTCTGCTTACTTGAATGAGTAGGCACATGTAGAGCAGAATGATCTGCCTTATGTGGGGTGGGGAAGAGGAACAGAACTGCTGCTGTTGAAGTAGAAGATTTAAGCAGAATTTCCAGGAAAACATGAGTAGGAAACTACTGAGTTTGTCCCTTTCTGCTTGTTAAAAGTTATTTGAGTAGCACTTTGTGGTGTAGCTGGAACAGGGAGTATACGTATTGGAGGTAAGATGGTGATCGAATTATCTAGAATCTGCTTTCATAATCAAGGGGGAAAAAAGCTATCTTGGATTTTTTATTTTTTTTTTTCAACTCTAGAGTAACCACTAATAAGTTGTTGCTGTCAATTGTCATCATCCTGGAACTAGCCATCCTAGGAGGTGTGGTCTACTACAAGTTCTTTCGCAGCAGATGAATCTTCATGACGGAGATGAGCTTTCCCACTGTTGAGGAACCAGATGGGCTCTCTCTTCCCTTTGACTGTCTGAGATTGAACTGCCTCATGAGACAGCATGTTCAACAAACTGTACTGACACTAGAAAGACAGAGAATGGGAGTAAAAGGAAAATGCAGAGAGATACTTGAACTACTGGTAAGATTAATAAGAAGGTAATAAATATTTTATTGTCTCAATTTGTATATACTTAACTAAATGAATAAATCTTGGTATGTAATAAAGTAGCCACCAATCAGTGGAAAAGCTAGTTTATTTAAAAATGGAGAAGTTAACAGTATTTGCCAAGTATTGACAATCAAGTGCCTCGGCAGAGCTCTACAATGTCCAATGTACCCAACGCTTTGGATTTTTAAATCCTCACTTGCTCTTTGCTGTCAGATTCATCTGGAGAACTGGGTGTTGGGAGTTCATCAAAAGCAGTGTGTGCTCCTTCCCTTGTCTGCCCAAAGCACGTTGCTATCACGTCGACTGCAAGACTGGCAGTTGCGTTCACTTCCTCTTGAGAAGCACCAAGCAGTGGATTGACTTCAACCATGTCTACAGCTGAAAGCATTCCTGTGAAAGTGATTTACAGCTTTGTGACTATGAGAAAGGGCAAAATCTCTAACGCAGTTTCTTTTGCAGCCTTTCATTCATTGCAGCAAGTCTGGTACTTGAGCTTGTGACCTGCTCTACCCTTTAGGCAAGTACAAATGGCTCTCGAGGGATGAGGTTATCATTCTCAGATGCAACTTCGTGGTTTTAATTTGGTTCTTTCTTACATTGTCATTACCTCCATCATTCATGCTTTTAGCATTTAGAAAAAATAAGTTTTATATTCCATATACACTTATGAGAGGAATGTTTTTTTAATCTTGTTTTCTCCCAGTCCAAAAATTAGGGGATATAAAAGTCTCACCTAGTATTTTTTTGCCATCCTATTCAAGATTCTATCGACTGTCTACTCGATTTTTTTTTTTCCCATCTTTTACTGCAAATAACTCATTCTTTAAACACATTAAACAAAAGCTCCATGGCAATATATTGAGGAAAGTCCTCAATATATTGAGTGAATCAACTGCAGTATACTTGGTGAAAGCTTGATTTGTTAGCCTTGAATCCTAGAATGGAACTTCAAACTTTAAAATTGTTTGCATCCATTTTGATTCCAGATGCCCATTTTTACATCTCACCTCGTGTTTAGGAATAGAGGACAGTACTGTACGAGATGACCAAGTCATTTTTGGCATTAGCTGTTAATATATTATGTACTTTATTTACTTTTGGCAAGCTCAAGTTGTTGATGGTTAAGCTGTTTCCAACACCTGGGGTATTGCCCAATTATAGGACGACTTTTTCCCTTACTGAAGGTTGCGCTGACTTTGTAGGCACCTTAGCTTTGACTCATTGATCTTACGATCTAGTTAAACAGGCAAAACGTAACCAATATGAGCTCCCTGTAATTTGTCCTGTCCTTGCTTAGTCCAGTACTGCTGGTCAGCTCCTACCTGTGTTGTGTATTTCCTCCGTGATGTACATGCCTTCTCGGTAAGTTAATCCACCCAGAACAGGAGTCCCAGTTGCTGGAGCCAGTGAGGGGTCAAAAGCATCAATGTCAAAACTCAGGTGAATTGGTCTCTGTCTCCTGAGATAGAATAAAACAAGAAAAGCAATCTCAGAACCTTAAAACTTTTTCTATGTGTATTTCTTACTCTCCAGGCTGATCAGCAAAGTAGCATCATACTCCATCATGCTAAAGGTCCCTGCCAAGTCCTATACCCCATGTCTTATATACATTTGGAAAGGATTTTTTTAATCTCTCTCTCTCTCTCTCTCTCTCACTTTGGACTCTGAAACATCTGTTAGCTCAGAACTTTCCCACTGCACATTGAGAAAACAGAAGTTTGTCTTTCTAGTCTCACTGAGCATCCACTCAGGTTGTCATTTGGCTGAAGATAAAGTACTTTCGTTCTAACGATCTTATCTGGTGTGTCTGCCTCCTTTGTTGGAAAAATGTAGAAAAATCTATGATAGAATCCAGCCTTTTCTCCTTTTGTACAGAAAGCCAGGGCAAAAGGCTGAAACATTGATTTGCATGGCACAGAGGATGGAGGAAGCACCACCCTTGAGGATTTCATAGACAGTTCATCAGGATGAATGGGACGTTCTGCGTTTTTCAGGTCAATATTGAAGGCTGTCTCTAAGCTCTGCCATGTAAGCAGCCCAGTTGATGAAAAAGTGAAGGATAATCTCAAACCTAGGACGTCAGTTAGTTACTTACTACATGAAGTCTGGCAGCCGATGACAGGTTAGTAAATTGGGCACTGCTTGTCACTCAGATGAGCTACGTAAGTGGTAGACTCTGTACTTCCAACTTACTGCAGATGGTCAGAAGGGAGAAGCATCTGGATTAGCAACTACTGCACTTGGCACAGCAGCAGCTAGGAAGGGTGAACACACCTTTAGATACAATAGCATGTAGTGCCGATACGTGGACCTTGTTCTGCTTTTACAGGGCTTTGATCTACCCTGTGGTCAGAGGTTGGTTGCCCTTTCTAACTCCGATCCCCTCCATGTGTCCCTAGGCTAGCATGATTTGCTCCCTGATCTGGCTCCCCAGACTTGAACAAGGTTAGCAAAGACTGCAGTAAGGGGGTGGTTACAGTGAACTCCCGTGGCTGAACTGAAAGTGGCAGTTGTCATCAGGACAGCGTATGTGAGCGTAGTCTAAGGAGGAAGTCATCAAATGCTTCTACCTCATGTACTAACAGCTGAATTCAAGTTACTGTCAAGTTGCTCTCTATTTTTAAAAGTATACTGTGTACCCTAGGCTCTGAGTTGATTCAAACATCTTGCCAAGCTGCAAGATCTGCAGCAAAATGCAGCATTCCTCAAGAAACAGAACAAATCGTATAAACCAGAGCCACGACTGTAGCAACTGATGTGACCTGTCTTGTAGCTTTTTGCCAGAGACTGTGAAATAGTACCAGTTCAAGATGTGGAAGTCAAGGACTAAAGTCAGTGCTAAGCCTTTACTATTTACTGGATGCTGTCACAGTTCTGTTAGGCTGCCTTACATCAAGAGTACTTTACTTAAATAACTTTCAGGAAAGTAGATATTCAACAAGTGGATGATAAGAGTAGTTCAAATCAGATAATAGTTTTTTACCTGCCCATCAGTTGTTCAAATGTTCTTTCCATAACTTTCTGAATTCCAAGGCGATCAATATCCCTCATGGAAAAATACTGGATGTCATAGTTCTTCAAAATATAGCTGTTAAAATAAAATTTAAAAAAAAAATCATTACTGGCCTAAGCTTAAATCTAGCAACCCTTGTGAACAGCCAGATGTGGAAAGAAGCTCATGGTTTCAGCCTTTACAAAAATCCTTTGATCTAAATCAACTTACTATTCAGCAGCATCCA